GGGGGAGGTAATAAACTTCCCTTGAACATTTTGTACCAAATCGAATGGAAGTACTTCGAAAGTCGTATTTCAGGGATATAGCTCCATAAAGTGTGTATCATTGTGAGCTAATACAATGTTTTAAAGTACTTTTGTGATGTTTTCCTCCTTTCCTCAAAATGTTCATTTCTTGGCTTTAATTAACAGGTAAAAACTCAAAAACCATTCGAGACATAAGCATGAAATTTGGAGGATACGTGCGCCGTGCTATTTGAAATACGACGATGCTAGTTCTTCCTATGTTGGAAAAAATACTTTAAACATAATTTTTTAAACTTTGCTATCGTAACAATTTTCTCCATAAAAAAATTGCTAATACGCAAGTCTTCTAACAGTAATAACATAATTAATATTTACAATCTCAAGAAAAGCTATGGCTATTTTCTTAAGATTTGTGTGCAGATTACAAACATGTAATTAGTTCTTAGACGGCATGGATTGTATTTTAGTTTTTAGCTTTTGAAAATGGTCCTTCAGATAGCCTGGCTTCACTCTAATTTACCATTTCTATAATTATGTAACCGACAATGATTCCCAAAACTAAATGATTATTGTTAATCCTCGAATGTGTTACTTTGAGAAAATACGAGAAAAAGAAAGTAAAATCACTTAACTGTATATTGTTTTTGTTTGGTGCTAAGATGTGGAGTGTCCTTCACGGACGTCGGGTGTGGCAGACGCAAGTTTGGCGGGAATCAGAGACGGCGAGAGACACGACGTCCGCTCACTTCTGCTAAGTGGGCTTTTTTTAAGTTTTAGTAAGATTTTACGGAGCTCGCAACTGCATAAGGTCATATGAGCGCCAAGGGGTGGATGTCAACAGAGAAGTCCAAACGGGGAATCAGGCTTTCTCTGCTCACCTCTCTAGCCTCAACTGCAAATAGTCTGCTTCGACTATCAAGGTACCCCGGAAATAGCAGTTCACAAGAGAGTGACAAACACAAAAAAGTAGAGGAAATAATGACGATAACAGCACAGTAAGAACATGACACTGAGAAGTCAGCCCATATACAACCATATACAATTCTACTGTGCATACGAGCATTTTAATACCACCCCCCCCCCTTTTGGGAATGGCCTAAAGATACTTCACTCTGAGGCATTGCCCTGGTTTGGGGGAGGGGGGGGGGCTGCTAAATGTAACAATGTCGTGCTCTCGTGGATTGCTCTCATGACGAATGGGTTCACGAAGATTTTGAAGAAAGAGCCAAGGCAAGAAAAGTTAGGAAGGAGAGGGAAGAAAGAATGAGGCAAAGAGTGTGGAGGGGAGGGGGGAGGCAGGACAGGATTACGCAAATTAACCTTGTATTGATTTGAAACAAAACGCATAGCGAAAGTGGAACTCTAGACTGGAGAAGATGCTGAGAGAGGGAGAAAGGAGAGAGAGAGAGAGAGAGAGAGAGAGGGGGGGGGATAAGGAGGGGAGATAGAGAGGGAGCAAGAGATAGGGGGAGAGGGAGGTAGAGAGAGTGTGTGTGAAAAATATAATAAGAGAAAGGGTGAGAGAGAGGGAG